TAGTAAGCAGTATTCCCTTATCTATGTCGAATCTTTCCCATCTCTTCCGAACGAAATCATTCATTACCCAGTACGGAGGGTGAGATCCCATCACGAAACACACAACTGATGATGCCCAATATTCCTCCTCCGTTACCATATCTTTAGCCTTAATCTTATAGATCTTCATCCCCTGTTGTACCTTTGGTGGAAAAAAATTCAGTTTCCTCGATGGAGGTCTCTGTTTGTCCATATCAAAATTCGCAGAATCTTTAACTTTTGCACCATCCTCAACTCGATCTGACCATTGGAGTTGCCTTCTGGTGTTATTGCCCCAAACCCTAGGTTTAGCAGTGTCTTGAATCGCACCAGACAGACTACCATCACTTAATTGCCCAACCATTACAGCTGGTCCGGCGATGCAACGTGATTCTGGAATTTGAGTTCTAAGTAACCCTAATAAAAAAAAAACCTCCATCTTACTTTCAGTCTTCAGCCGTTTCCCTTTCTTTCTTGTTGCTACCGCCGTGAAGCCAACCAAGGAAACCACTCCAAATCTTCCAAGTTTTATTCTATTCCATCAAATATTTTGGAGTTATTTTGTGATTATTTTGTGGCTTCACTCCCAAATTTCAATTTCGTACTCTCTCACTCCCGATTAGTTCAATGATTTGCCAGCCCTACTATGCGCTATTGTTTGCGTCAACCAACTCCTTGTTTTTAAATTTTTTTTTTATATAATTAAGTACGATCAGAAACCAGGGTATATTATCAGAAGTGATAAGGAAGTTACAATTGTAGTGATAAGTATAGAAATAGCGTATTTTAAGGATATATGTCGTGATCCTTTACTAAATTTTATGTTAAAATATTTATTATAAAGTTTCTGTGGTAATCTCCACGATAAATTTGAAGTATAACAATTCGGGTTCGGGAAATCATCCATACCACTAGATTCTGTCTTCAAGGAAGTTGTGTATATGGCCGTAATCAGCATGAATGCATGATTATCTCATAAGCTCTAGTAATTTAAACGGGCAGACTCATTCTTTTACTAAGTAGTAAGTACGATTTGTTTATTTTTGAGTTAACATATATTTTACCCATAAAAAGATCTGGATTTTTTTTATATAATTTTTCAAAACTATAATTATAACCTGATTTTTGTAATTGATTTTCCTTTGTTATATTTTAAAATAAAAGACGATCAGAAGTGCATTAAGTCGTCGTTTCGTTGATCCAATTCCGGATCTCCTTAATATTCAGATGGTGGTTGGCCAATTTCATGTTACAATGTCGGTGGTTGAAGGTGGAAGGGTTGTTTTGAGCGGCGATGATTTTATGAAATTTGTTCTGTCTATGAGTATTGCACCAGGAAGCTACTTGCATATGGTTTTTTTTTTAAGATTTTGTTATGCATGCAACAAGTTTTGGTTGTCATGGATTTCAGAAAGTGATGCCAATCAATTTCACTCCTTTTGGTCTCAAGAGTATTGTTACTGTTCGGCCTTATGATCTTCCGTTGTCATTGAAGGTAAACAATATTTTGCATTATTGTTTGGGTACTTCTTGAATATTTCTTACATTTTTTCTTGAAATTTTTATTTTAAACATATCCATACTTATATGTCAATAATATGGACTGAATTGTTTTTACTTTTATTTTATTGATAAAAAGGTGAAAACTATATATTAAACTTTCATAATTCTCTTTTTGTAAATTAACTATTTGTAAATTTTTTAAGTATTTCACGAATATGATTTTATTGTACTTTTTTTCGATTATTTTTTAATATGTAATTAGACATTATATTACAATTTTTGTAATATACTTTCAGGTAATCCCGAGTGCCTTTGTGAATGCAATAAATTTGCCCGAAACAAATTTTGTGTTTGTTAGTTTTGATGATTGCACCTTAGAATTCGAATGGTATCATACTGGAGGGATTTTTGGATTACGTGGACGGAGTTGGACTGATTTTGTCTTCTATTATCAGCTTCATCAGGGAAAATGTAATCTACTGCTTACTTATTTGTATGGGTGCACTTTTAAGGCGACTGTCTTTGATGAATATGGTTTTGAGATTTATAGTTCTGATTACCCTTCCGACTACTCCGAAGTTATTTTATTGTTTTTACGTTTTTTTTTCGAAATACATTAACATTAATTTTTTTGTATTTTATATTATTTTTTTACTATTTCTCAAAGTATCTTAATTGTTTTGTCTTATTATGCCTTTTTTAATTCATTAATATGAATGCCTTTTTTAATTCATTAATATGATTGATTGATAATTATATATGGCTTGTGTTATTTTTCGGTTTAAGGTTATTTGGTTTCATAAAATATATGACCAAACTGGACGTTAATGGTGTAATTATTACCTACTAATTTTTTATGATAGACTGAATTTTTTTAAAATTTTTGTTAAAGCATTATGGTTCCATTTTCTAACTTGCTTTTGTGGTATAATTGTGGTTTATTTATGATTGTGTGTGTATGAAAGTTTTGCTTTTGGTAAAATGATTTGCATTCTGCCTCAGATTATTTTCTTTTTTCTGTTTGTTTATTAAGATAAGAAAAAAAAAACTTCTTATAAGAATTGTCAATTTGATTAGTTCATTGATCAATTAAGGTTTTAGAAAAGAGAAACTTTTATGATTTTTTTGTTGAAAAAACGTTGAGTTTTTTTAAGATAGAACCCGGATTCTTTTAATTTGTTTTTTGTGTAAGTATTTAAGTGGAACGACCCCTTTTTTTTTTTGGAGTTCAGAAAATGTTTTTTATTTTTTTTGTGGTTAGGCTTAAGTTGATTGAATATATGCATCATTTTTTTTTTTTTTTATGATCGCTTGTGTTATCATTTGCAACGAAACAATAATGGCTATTGTTTTTCTTTTTCTTTTGGGTTCAAAAATAGTGAGATTGTTTTTGTTTATTTTTTTTAAATAAATAATTGATTTTTATTTGTAACAAATAGGCATCCATCTGACTGAAGAAGATTTACACAATGATATTTTGTACGAGCTTGAGAAAGTATTGACAAAAATGGAAAAGAGTTTGAAAATGTTTGAACATATGCCATATATGCATGATTTTATTGAAGGACGTCTTACCAATAATTTCATAAATGCTGAATTTCATTATGATAGACAAGTTATAGCAACAAAACATGATTCTTTGTTTGATAGTTTAACTGATGAGCAGAAAGGTGAGTATGAAAAGATTATTGGTGCAGTTAATCGTTGTAAAGGAGGTGTTTATGGTTATGGTAAAACTGGAAAGACATATATGTGGAAAACATTATCTATTGCATTGCGTCACAAAGGTGATATTGTTTTAAATGTTGCTTTGAGTGGTATTGCTTAGCTTCTTTTGGAAGGTGGTCGAACAGTTCATTCAAGGTTTAAGATACTTCTTAACATATACGACCATTCTATTTGTAAAATAGATCCTGGAAGTGATTTAGCAGATCTCTTCACAAACACAAAGTTAATTATATGAGATGAAGCACCTATGTGCCATAGGTATTATTTTGAGGTTTTAGATAGGACATTAACAGATCTAAGCCGTTTTTCTTCATCTAGGGTAAAAAAACATCCTTTTGGTGGAATTGTAACAGTTTTCGAAGGTGATTTCAAACAGATTTTGCCTGTTATTTCAAAGGCGTCCCGACAGCAAATTGTTCGTGCATCTATAAATTCTTCTCCCATTTGGACATCTTGTGAAGTATTAAGATTAACAGAGAATATGAGACTTTGCCAAGGGAATAACAAAGAATTATCCGTTGAGGTTAAAGAATTTTTTGAATGGTTACAAAGAATTGGTGATGGAAAAGCAGGAGAAACAAATGATGGCATAATGGATATTGATCTTCCTGAGGATATATGTGTCAATAATTCCGGTAATCCAATCTCTACTATTTGCGAAATCATTTATCCAAAAATAGAACAATGTTTGGATATACCAAATTTTTTTGATGAAAGAGCCATTCTAGCTCCAACTCATGATGATGTAGATGCTATCAATAATCATATGTTGACTCTTTTGAGTGGAAATGCTAAGGTTAATTATAGTTATGACAGTGTTGACACTCAAGATAAATCTTTCAATAGCGAAGAAAATCCGATGTACTCCGTCGATTTTCTAAACAGCATTAAATGTTCAGGTTTGCCAAATCATAAAATAACACTTAAGGTTGCTGTTCTCGTTATGTTGCTTCGAAATTTGGATCAGCCTGGAGGTCTTTACAATGGGACAAGATTGCAAGTTCTTGATTTGGGTAAACGAGTGATTCACGCAAAAATAATTTCAGGTACAAATATTGGTCGTAGAGTTTTTATTCCCCGAATGGTTATTGATCCCACCGATAAGAGTATACCGGTTAAAATCAAAAGAAGACAGTTTCCAATTGTTGCTTGCTTTGCCATGACAATAAACAAAAGTCAAGGGCAATCACTTTCAAATATTGGTCTATTATTAAGACGTTCAGTTTTCACTCATGGTCAGTTATATGTTGCCTTATCTAGAGTGAAATCAAGAAAAGGATTAAAAGTTCTCTTTTGTAATAATAATAGGGATTTTGGATGTCGCACTATTAATGTGGTTTACAAAGAAGCACTTGAAAAGGTGTGACTAAAATTAATGTAAGCATTTTCATGTGAAAGGTGTGACTAATTTGATTTGAAGCACACTTTTGGGGTCATAATAGATTGATTATTTTGTACCAAGTAAAAGGAGTGCTAAACTTATTTTGTACCAAGATCGATTATTTTATGTCAACGCTTTGAAGAACTGTACGCATGATAAAAATGACTATCTCTGTAGGATCACTATATGATTATTATCTCAAATCAAGTTAATATTTTTGTCGTCTTTATTCGTCTTTGTCTTCGTAAAGGAGTTGGGTTGGTGATGCCAGATTGTGCATTTGCTTTTCAATCGGTAAAATGGAGTGCTCTGTTCTTCTGTGCCACATTTATATTTTTCATTTTTTATCTTCATGTACGTATACTTTACCCTTTATTATTTATTACACTATTATAATTTTTAAATGATTATTAAATCGAGACTTTATATTATACACTAATTTTTGTGTAAATATTTTACAACCCGTCCAACGGACGGGCCACCCGCTAGTAAATTAAAAGGGAAAGGGAAAAGCGTTTCTTCCTTTTTCGTTCATTCCACAATTGATGGTTCGGTCGGTTTGTTGAATTTGCCTCTCTGTCCTCTACCTGTCTTTCCCTTCTTTATCCCACTTTTCCGATCCCTCAAGCTACAATCTACAAACAAAAAAACAAGAACCAGTGTCCTCTCTTTTAATAATCTTTCTGTATTTATACCTTCGCACAGTTGTGATCAGAGAAGCAATCCCATAAAAAAGGGGACAAAAAACAATCCAAATTCCAGGTAGAAAGTAATGAATAAAGCCCTTGAGTTTCGCTTCAATTTTTCAATGGCTGTTAATTTTTCTTGTTTTTGTATAAATATTTTTTTGTGGGTTCTGTTTAGAATTTAATTCTGATTTGACCCGTTTAATGTTTTTCCCTTGAATCAATCAGAATTCTTTGATTCCCACTCCCCTTTTCTTGCCTCGTGATTTTTTTTTTTTTTGGTTTCATTTGTTTTTATTGGATCTTTCTGCCTGTTTAATTTGAAAGGGGTTCGTTTTCCGGTTGTTAATTTGGTCTGTAGTTTCAATAGCTTTTGTGATTGACTAAGGCTTTTTTGGAGGGTGGGGTTTTGGTTTCTTCAATACATTTGGTTTGTTTCATTTCGGTGTTCAGCTTGATGGATGATAATTTTCATCGCCCTGGTCTAGTGGTAAGAAATTGAAGAACTTCTTTGTCGGGTTCGGCCTATGAAGCTTTCTCTGGTTGTTTATTTTTGTGAAGTTGTTTCATAATATATTGTTGTTTAATGATTGTATTGGTTTATTTCATTTTACAATCATTAAAATTTGATTGTATCTCGGCGGAAAATGGTATCTCGGTATATATGTTCATTTAAAATTTGAACTCTTTGTGTCTGAAGGGCTAAATAGGGTGTCATGTCTGGTCCCTTTGGTATGTTGGGCTGATGTATTCTCTTTATTTAATGCATGTATGTTATTTGCATATGTCTTGTCATAGTTGAAGATGATTAGGAGTTTACGTTGACCTTTGGTGATTGTACATAGCAATATTCATTCTGTCTATGTTCTGTGCATATGAAGGGCTTTACTTTTTGTTATATAAAGGAGAAGCATTTTTACGATTTAATCTAATGGAGTTTTGTGTAAGAAGTTGCTTTTTCTAATTTGTCTGTTTTAATCAAGGACATCTGAGAATGGCTTTAGTCTTCGGATTGTTTACAAGTTATTGCTGGTGGAATGGTATTTGATGAAGCCATGTCTGTTCCCTTGTTTGGTCTCTTAAGTTTCTCCCGAGCTCATGAGGAAGGATTGATAGTCGGCTCAACTTCCTTTGAAGGATGACAAAGATATTGCATTCCTGGATTGTGATTGTTATTATGATTGTAGCTTTTACTAATGATATTCCTTTGAAGGATCGATTGTCAGCTTTATTTTGTGATTACTTGTTCTGTTAATTATTTATGTTCTTCAATGGTGCTAACTTATGTGTAAATCAAATCATTCTGTTGTGTACCTTTTTTATTTATATTTTTTTTTCCTTATACCTTGTTCCGGTTTGTGCAGGCACATGATCCTCCCCCCGGTTACTTTGTGCGCCTGGAAAATAGAGGTAGTGAAGACGATCTTTATCTAAGAAAGAGAGCAAGAATGCGTAGGTGGCTGTGTTGTACGTGCCAAGTTGAGGAGTCATACCAATCACATGAGAATGAGCCCTTTAAAAGCCCAAAGAACCATGTTGATGGTTCGTTCACGCAGTCTCTTTCTCATGCAATTGTTATCTTTTCCTCCTTTTTTTCAGCATACTACATCATGAAATACTCAAAAAGCCCATGTGTGTTGTAGCTGCATTATGATCTTACTGTTTTGGTTGTAAGGATTTTTGTTCGAGTGTTTGAGCACAATTGCTTACAGAAATAGTTTCTGGTTAAAACAAATGGCAATACAAGGAACTAAGTTAGAAGTGATGGAGCATGCATAATCAGAAGGAAGAAAACTAAATCAGAAGAACTCATACATTGTTGTTTCTTTATTTCCGTCTACTCAGTAACAGTGCAGATATTTGCTTATATACTGTGACTATCATTAAACAATTAAAACAAATACAGAGTCCATTTTGGAGTACTGAGTGAATAGTCGTTGAGGAGTCTTTTTGAATTATTTTAACTTTACTATGAGATTGACTATGTCTTGAAGTGTCGAATTATTTGTGATGTTTCAAAATCTTTAAATAATTGTGAATTGTCAATAAAAAGTCGCTCAAGTGAATCAATAAAGAGTGACAGCTGCTGTTGTATTAGTCTAACTCTTATTGAGAAAGAACTTTGAAGTGGTTGCCACTGTAGTTGTGATGGTGGTTGCAGAGGGAGCCCCTGAGAAGAAGAGGTAGTTGAAGCTCGAAATCATGAGGCTGCTGGTAGTTGGCGATTGAGTTGAGACTTAAGGTTGTAGAGCTTAAGAAAATGTAGTGTATACATAAACTTAATTTATAAGGCGATGGTAGTTCCTATCCTTTGTTTCTTTGAAGTATGTTCTTAAGCTTTGTTCCTTGAGTACACCCCACAGATTTATCATGAAGGGGAACAAGCTTCCCAAGGAATGGATTATATTGTTTATAATGTTTCATTTTGTACATATTCTGTTTTGGAGATATATAGAAGCTTGCAAATTTTGTGGTTTCTCTTTCTTGTCTTGATCTTTTTCTGCGTTCTTTCAAATCAAGAAATTTTATTTCAACCCGAATACTGTGAGTGATAAGAGCTGCTGAATAAATATAAATGAAGGGGAAATGCAACAAATATGTGGGGCAATTTTGTTTGTTTAATTTATTCCTGAATGCATATATGACGTTGGGGCCAAAATTTTGACTTGAATGTGTATATCTAAGTTACACCTGTTGATAGTGTTCTTCTTCACTTTAAAAAAATTAAGTGTTCTCATCTAAATTTGAAAGCACAGGTTTGTGGTTAATGTACCTCTTTCTTTGTTGTATGATTATGTACAGTTACTTTACAAGAAAGTCAGGATGGAACAGTTAATAAATTACAATGATTGACAGTAACTGAACATGACAAGAGTTGGTCGCTTTGTTACATTTTCGCGAGGGAATACTGAGTCTAAAAGCCAAATATAAAGAAATGGAGACTACCAATGAATATAATGGTTCTCATGTCAGATTTCGAACATGTGGTACTCGTTTGTGCTGAGTCCCATTTGTTGAGTTTTCTTCTAATTTGTTCTATCTTCGAGTGTATGATACCCAACATTCCTTTACCTTCGTATGATTTCGCTGGCGAATACAGGGTATCAAAGAGGTTCAAAGGTATCAGCTCCTGCCATGTCTGAGCAGAAGCCAATTCCACCAATTGAGGTTCCTGCCTTGTCTCTGGATGAATTGAAAGAGAAAACTGACAATTTCGGATCAAAAGCTTTAATTGGCGAAGGATCTTATGGAAGAGTCTACTACGCCAACCTTGAAAATGGGAAGGCTGTGGCTGTCAAGAAGCTTGATGTGTCATCTGAGCCTGAACCAAACACTGAGTTCTTGACACAGGTCGGAAATTTTGATAATATTATATTCATGATATGTGCTTTTTGTCATTGGTATTATGCTTTGATGCATCTCATTCTTGGTTGTGTTTTTTAGGTTTCTATGGTATCAAGATTGAAGCATGAAAATCTTGTTGAGCTTCTTGGCTATTGTGTGGAAGGAAATCTCCGCGTATTGGCGTATGAATTTGCAACCATGGGATCTTTGCATGACATATTGCACGGTGAGAAACATGAATCATAGTTTCATTGAGTGCATTATTGTTTTTCTTGATTAATGTTCTCTATGTCGAATGGTTACTTATTATGTGTAGAGCCCCGTCTTTTTGCTTGCACTAATTTTTTAATGTTATTTGTGTGCACAGGCAGGAAGGGAGTGCAAGGAGCCCAGCCTGGCCCTGTGCTTGATTGGATAACACGGGTAAGAATTGCTGTTGATGCTGCCAGAGGACTTGAGTATCTGCATGAGAAGGTCAATCCGCCTATAATACACAGAGATATTAGATCCAGCAACGTACTTGTGTTTGAAGATTACAAAGCAAAGATTGCGGATTTTAACCTTTCAAATCAGGCGCCCGATATGGCTGCTCGTCTTCATTCTACCAGAGTTTTGGGAACATTTGGTTACCATGCACCAGAGTATAAACCTATCCTTTCTGCATATGCTTTTAATGGGTGATCTTTACTTATCGTGTCTGCTAGTTTTGAGCATACTTTTCTATTTCTATTTTTCGTATTATCGTGTCAAGTCATAATTAAATTTCATTTATTAGTTTTAGCATTGTTGAAAAATACTTTTGACTGCTGACTTTTGTGTTGTGACCATTTTGGTTACCATGCACCAGAATGTAAACCTATCCCTTTCTGCATATGCTTTTTATGGGTGATCTTTACTTATGGTCTCTGCTAGTTTTGAGCATACTTTTCTATTTCTATTTTTCGCATTATCGTGTCAAGTCCTAAATAAATATCATTTATTAGTTTTAGGATTGTTGAAAAGACTTTCGACCGTCGACTTTTGTGTTGTGACAATTTGGTTACATAAGCCTCTATCTGAATATCTCCAGATCATATACTGTGTTGAAAATGTAGTGCTGAATACTGGAAAATGATATTGGTAGTTAAATGGTTATATACTACTGTAGACTAGATTTGTATGTATTGGATATGAATTCTCTATGAGCTGATATATGCTTCAATGGCTTTTATTTTTTTGCTTTTATAAATCTGGTACCGTCACCTTTTGGAACAATGGAAGCTGATTCCAACAATCCTTGGTGTTGATAGCACATAGAGTAGCCCAAGGAAAAGTTGCATTTTGCAAGATCAAAGTTAGCATACCTTCTTGCGTATCACTTGAAATATTGGATCTTGGAAAGTTTTGTTCATTTCTTTCAGATCATTGTAAACTGCAAAAGATGTTGTGATGTCTGTTTTCATTTGATATAGAACAAGTTTGCTGTTCAGTTTAATATAATGCTCCATAGCTGAAACCATTTTTTTTTTTCACAAAGTACTGGGGCATCATGTGCAAGAAAAGTGCTGTATTTTCCTGCTTTCTTTTTGTGTATGTAGTGGGTGGGTAGGATTCGGGTGTTGAGGCTGTGCTGATTGAAATGCGTCTATTTTTTTGAATATGCTTCTTTTCTTTAGTATGATGCAGTTATGAACATTATCGGCTCATGCGTAGTATATTCTGCAAATATTCTTGCTGAAAAGCACTAGATTGAGTTATTGGATGTTTGTTTCAGTTATCTTTGCAATGCTTAACTTGATTCATGTGGTAGGTACTCATTTCCTAAAGGTTTTCTTCATTAACAAGGTGCATCATGGTAATATACATGTAATGTTGCAGATATGCAATGACTGGACAATTGACACAGAAAAGTGATGTATATAGTTTTGGAGTGGTTCTTCTTGAGCTTTTAACTGGAAGGAAGCCTGTTGATCACAACATGCCCCGTGGACAGCAGTCCCTTGTTACTTGGGTGAGCCTTTTAGCTTTTTTGTCGTGAAACATATTTTTGATCCTTGAGTCATATTTCAGCATTGTCTATTATCTGTCTTGCTTGGATCTATAAACACCACCGCTTGTCTTTTTCTAGGCAACTCCAAGGCTCAGCGAAGACAAAGTGAAGCAATGCATAGATCCAAAGCTCAAGGACTTTCCTCCAAAAGGAGTTGCTAAGGTTTGTATGTCTTAACTAATGCCATCATTTTTTATTGTTCCCTACTCTGTGTGTATATTTATTCCTACTTAGACCCTGCTTTCCTCCCTCTTCTCCCTTTGCAGTCTTTCACGATTCCTACTTTTGCTAAAGTTGTGAACCAGATATTAACTGACATTGCTACTTACCTGTTTGTACAGCTAGCAGCCGTGGCTGCACTCTGTGTGCAGTATGAAGCTGAATTCCGTCCGAATATGAGCATTGTTGTAAAGGCTTTGCAGCCACTTTTAAAATCTCAAGCACCCCCTCCAGAGGTTTAGTACCTATGATTGGATCATAAAGGCAGATGATGCTGCAGAGATTTTGGGTCCGTTTCCCCCATTGCGTTGTGATTTGTGTGGCTTTTCTATATGTTTCTGAATTTGATTGTTGGCCTATCCGTACAAAATTGTTCTTCGCTTCTGTCTTCGGCCACGTGGGACTTTTTTTAGGGTTGATTGCTATGGCTCTTGTTTCGTTGGAGTGATCTTTTTGCTGATGCTGCCTGGTGCTACTGTATTTAAATGATAAAATTGACTGCGGGACTGTTACAGATTGTGGGAATATATATATATATATATATATATATATATATATATATATATATATTAGATATGATTCTTGTTAATACCAAATATGTTGAACTGATAGAGTTGTCAAATGTTTTTTCTTTTCTTTCGAATTTTACACTTGACATCTTTGAATTGTGATGAGCCAGTTTCGTGATGTACTATATTTTCTCTCTTCTTTGTCACTTTTTTGTTTTTTTTTTTTTTAATTTTTAGTTTTCATTTCAAAATTTAGAAAATTTAAGTAGTTGCTTTCGAGGTGGAAGACCCGAATTTTGCTGCTTCCGGCGTTGCTTCAAATCAGCAATTTGGTGAAAAATTTTGCTGAGCGGCGCAGCAAAGGAAGTAAAAAGCAGCTGCTGTTATAGGATAGAGTAAACGGCAGAAATCCCACCATTTTTTATTTTTTCTTGTAGACATGCTCTACTAAGATATTGACTACAATGACAACTTAATTAATTAGTTTACATCAATGCTCCTAAACCAACTTCTGCCTAGTAATTGGTTCCGATATTGAGCCTATTGACTTAGTTGAGGCAACCTCCCCCGAAAGAAATCAGATTGACTATCATGTGTTACCTAAGGTTTGCGTTAATATTTTTTTTGTTATAATAAATAGATAGTACTCATCCTTGTAATTAACTTACTATATTGCGGGTATAAATTTCGTAGTTTTCTTTATGTTTGTTTTCAAGAAAAGGTTTACCACATCAATGGGAGGTTCCTCTTCCATCTCCACCTTGACGGAAAACAAGAATATAAAGAAATCGCGGACGAACATCACGAACCAGCGATCAGAACATTAATACTTCTGGCAATTATAGCCAAGACCATATATATGAGGCTAAATTTCAAGTATTCAATGTAAAAAGATGGAATGGAAGCTTTAAAACTTATTGTTTAACTGAAAATTTTGCAAACATTACAGACTATATATGGTGTTAGACATTGGGTTTTACTTGGACAGTAAACTTAATTAATTGCAGATCTTCATCGTCAACTATATGCATGTGAACGAAGAAAAAACCAAAAGAGTATTGGATTCGTATTTGTCGATATTAACTCTGTCATCATGCGTGATTATTAGTACAAAAAAATTTTGGTGTCTTTTTGCTGTGGGAAAATTTTGGTAATAAGTGCAAAACGATGGGTCATTTAAAAATTTTGGTGTCTTTTTGCTGTGGGAAAATTTTGGTAGTAAGTGCAAAACGATGGGTCATTTAATATTAACTTATGAGCACTTAGAATATCTTTTCACCTTCTTGACGTTTATTTTTCCACCGGAATCTCTGAAGTCTGTTGAGTTTCAACATCTCTTTTTGTCCATTTGATTGAATTGAAAGCAATCCTCATCTGTTCAACTGAACCTAACAGAAAGCCATCCTCATTAATTTAGGGATAAAGACAAAATCCTGAGTTACGTCCAAAGACTCATCCCCCTTCAATTTTCTTATAAGGACAAAAACTTCCTTGACCGTCAGAACTTTGAGCTCAATGGTCTATAAGTGTAAAATGACCAAAAGAACCATCACATTTATGGATATATTTTTAATAGGAAAAATCCATAAATTGGATTCACAATTATACCTAAATTGCTTATAATTTTCAAAGTATATAAATAAAATCAATTCAAATTATATTCATATCCCTAATAATTGTGATCACATCTTTATTTTCAGTGTCTACAACTAAAATAGTTAGCTCTAGAGTCCATAATTTTTGAATTTGTAACTCGAAAAAGTTAGAATGCAGATTAGTTTTTTTTTTTTTTTAAAATAACAATCACAACACACTTTGCACGTGCATAATGGTTAGAAACTGTAAAAAATGTCAAAATAAAAAACAAAAGATATACGGAGACCTATCATACTTGAAATATGCTCATCATTAATAACTATATATAATCGTGACAAAACTAGATCTCTATGAAGAAAAAGAAAGATAGCATATATGAAAGATTACAAAATAGATATTTTTAACCTTCAAAAATTTAAATAGAAGATTTATAACACTCCAAATTTTTCTTATCAATTGGATACATTATGAAGATTCATTAAGGAATAAATTAAAAGCGTATATGCTGAAGTGGTATCAATCTCCGGATTCGTGGATTGAAAAAAACAATGGAGGAACAAGGTCAATTATTATCAAATTTTAGTCAAAAAGTGCTATAGTTCTTTAAAAAACTTTCAAAGGACATTCAGGATTTAGGCAGGTCTTTGTTATTTTTCCCAAAAAAAAAAGTAGAAGGGCATTTTGTCATTTTATTATTTTTTAAACTACAATCGGTCATTATTCTCCGAAAGGGTTAATCTGTCCCTTAGAACATAATTTAGGGAGCTTTTTGTTCTTTTAAGAAATGTCGAGACTCGAGAGGGTATTAGTGAGATAAAACTCGGGGGAGGATTTTCGAGTATCCCTTAATTTAGAGATGTGATTATGCTTCTAACTGAAAATATATGATTATTTCAAAATAATTTGCAATACATATTCATCTGTATTAGAGCAGAAAGAGCCAATTAGTTCTATGATTAGTTTCGGTTGAATAATCGTGCGACAATATTTGAACTAGATATTATATTAAGTCAGTTTTTTTTTTTATCCAAATATGGTTCATTTCACTTAAACCTATATATATATATATATATATTATGCATTCAGTGTCAGAATTCGAACCAGATAGATTCCTCTGATTAGGTTCAATCTTTCAAAGGGAAGATCTATATAAAGTTAAAATGATGCCATAATAAAACAAGTGCTAAATTAAGTAATTTTTTTCATTTGAAAAGAATGATAGTAAATACAACCTCGGCCCCAAAATAGTTTTATATATTGAGATTTCAAATTATACTAAAAACAGTACTCTCTTTATTCCAAAAATAAGTGTCATTAGACAACTTGCACACAGTTTAAGAAAACTTAAATAAGGTAGATAAATTACTAGAATATCTTCAACCAACCTCATTAAAGTAAATGCTTGCAAATAATATTATTTCTTTTAAAGGTAAGTTAAAAGCTATGTTTTCAAAATCGGATCGGAAGATGAACCATTAGCGTGACCGGGTTGGTGGATTTATCAGGTTAACGGGTCAGTTCGTTCCTCGAAACTAGTAAAAAACGGTTAAAATAATATTAAAAAAATATTTAAAAATTAATATTTTAAGAAATATATACAAAAACCGGTTCAACCGGTACCGATTTCCGGTCAAACCGCGGTTTTACCTGGGTTTGACCGAGTTTGACCAGATTATACAGAATCTGGTTTTTTATGAAAATCGGACCGGTGAGGCTTCCGGTTCCCGGGCTAACTGGTTAGACCGCCCGAACCGCTCCGGTTTTAAAAACACAGGTTAAAAGTGCATTGAAATGAGAAAACAACACTTTAGAATTTCTCCATTTTAACAAAGTACAATTATTTTAGAATGGAAAAGAAGGAGTACAAAAGTGAAAACTCCTTACATACTTTTTTATAAATAAAAAAAAATTCACCCCAATAAACTCCATTAAAATATAGATAAAACTTCTTTTACATATCCTTTGGTGGGAATTCAATTGCATGGGGCCTTTTACAACATAAGGAGTATCATTTTTTCTCGCAAAATTTGTGAATAACAAGAGGAAAATTGTTAATTAATGGGTTGAAAAAGACATTATAACTAGATATTATATTAAGTTAGCTTTGATCTAGTCCAAATATGATTCATTTCAATTTTTGTTTTAAACGCATTTATATATGAAGTCATTGCTCCAAATAATTCGAGCCAGATAAATCCCTCTAATTAGACTCAATCTTTGAACTAGAAGGAAGATATGAATAAAAAAATTTATGCCATAATCAAACAAGAGTTTAAATTACTTAGATTTTTTTATGCCATAATCAATCAAAATTAAAGATATTTAACCCTATTTAAAATACTTTAAAATTAAAATATTAACCTTTTAATTTAATCTAATTCTAATTGACTCCATAAAACATGAGAAACATCTATTTGATATCAACAGGGCCCTGATTATTGAGATCCAGACCGATCTTGAGTAACAAAAGAGAATTAGAGAGAGAGAGAGAGAGAGAGAGAGAGAGAGAGAGAGAGAGAGAGAGAGAGAGAGAGAGAGAGAGAGAGAGAGAGAGAGAAGAAGAAGAAGAAGAAGAAGAAGAAACTGAATTATTTTGTTAACATAATATCCCAAATCATATATATTAATGCAGGGGAGATTTGCGGCACTTGTTCCGTTTGTAGAAGCTGAATTTGATAATTGGAGAAAAGGAGCTCATTTAGACCACCGTAATTTTTGGCGGTAGTTTTTAGTTTTCACCTATTTACCGTTCTATCTTTAATGATTAAGATGTATTTAAACCTGAATTTTAAAAGCTGTGAACAGAAGATAATTTTTGTCCCTTATTTGTTGCGAAGTAATTTGTTTTATGAGAGTCTCGTAAATTTATTATTCTGAACTTGTATTTTCGTCGAATTTCTATCTCATTAGATTTTTTTAAAAATGTCAACAGAAGATAATGTGTATCCAATATTTGTTGGGATATGATTTGTTCCGCGAGAGTGCAATATTTTTTGACTATAAAATAATCACCAGTGGGTATTACAGAATTCACACTGTTCGATATTCTCAGTTATTTTTTAGAGATTTGCTTTTAATTTTTTTGATATTGTTTGTATTAACTATATGATTTTAATTTGTTGCAAATTTGTCGTCATTTACAGAAATTTGCGATGGATTTGGAGTTCATCTCTACAATGCCGGAAAATGTTGCTACAAAAGGATTGGTATTTTTTCATTACCTTCATGTGCTTTTGATTTGGTCTTTTTTGCTTATTTTTAATTTCCAATCCATAATTGTTCATTCGGTCGAGGTATCTGTTGTGTAATATTTTTTAAAAAAATTAATATTGTTTTCCTGTATTGTTGTTTCAGAAAATCTCCAGTCGAATGCCGTCATTGTTTAGTAGGGGAAATCCACGAGAATATGTTTACCTTCGCACTGACTTTGATGATTTTTATGTGAAGTTTCTTAACACACGTAAAGGTCAGGGACGTCTTTGTTGTGGTAGATTCTTGGAATTCATTCGAAGCAGTGGTTTGGTTCCTGGATCCAAATTTCATATCATAGTAGTTGAGGACTACATACTAAAAGTTATCACCTATGATCGTTGTGGGGTTCAAAATTTTGATTATTGCCATCAACCTATATTGCCAGGAGGTGTACGATTTTGTCTTGAAATAGTTGACGGCTCTTATGATAAAGCGGTTAATTTATTTCTGTTGATATGATTGAATAATTATTGATATTCATAATTTTATTTTATAAATTTACAAATTTCTGTTTTTGCAGTTGATATCAAAAACTTTTTGGTAGTATTTTATGTTTACAAGACCTCATGATCGTTTCATGGTGGATGATGGTGAGGTCATATGGCATTTTGATTTAGCAAGGGATTCTGGTGAGATTGTTGGTTTTAGTGGGATGCAATGGCAAACTTTCTATGGATTTTGAGATATTAACGTCGGATGTCATGTTGTGATTTCTTTGACCGGTGATAAATCCTTCCGTGCTATAATTTTTTATCTTTCTGGATTCTCAGTGCAGAATTCTTATGTATCTTCTGATTTGTCCGATGGTTAGATGTAATTTTTATGATTAC